CAGTTCCCCCATGCTGGCTGAGGAATTCTGGGACTTGAAGTCCGCAAGTCATGAAGGGGCCACAGTTCCCCCATGCTGGCTGAGGAATTCTGGGACTTGAAGTCCGCAAGTCATCAAAGGGCCAAGTTTGAAGACCCCTGTCTTAAATCTAACAAACAAAATGGAGGCTGGCTGAGGAATTCTGGGAGTTGAAGTCCACAAGTCATAAAAGGGCCAAGTCTGAAGACCCCTGTCTTAAATCTAACAAACAAAATGGAGGCTGGCTGAGGAATTCTGGGAGTTGAAGTCCACCAATCATAAAAGGGCCAAGTTTGAAGACCCCTGTCTTAATGGTTGCCTTTATGGACTTTAAGGCTTCATCATCCCAGAAGTGAGAGATCCTATTAAAAAAGGGGAGGGCTGCACTGTTCTTCCCAACAGCCCATCTTCCCGATGCCTTTGTTAAAGGCCTCCCTTCCCCCCCCCCCCTTGCAGGTCTGTACCTGTGCTTCCTTATCAAGTACTTGCAATGGCGAAGTAAGTATTCCTTGGACGGCCGGCAGAGTTTCAAGGACCAGAAGTCATCCAGCCTCATCTTTGGAGAACAGGGTTTGCCTGGATTGCCTCCAAACAAGTAATGGACCTTGAAGGGAGAAGCGTGGAGAGATCTGGTCGTAAATAACTGGCGGTTAGGGAAACCATCTCAGCCTTGGGTATGTTTTCCAAGAAGCACGACTGGACTTAGGACCAAATGCTTGGGGCGGCTGCTGCACGTGCAACTGTTTATGGCACCCAGGTTTTGCACTCTCTAAAAAGGCAGACAGAGGAGGAGGAAAGCCACAGGCCTGCACCTCCTTACTCCGACGAAAAGGGCGGGAATACACCCCAACATATAAACCTTGATTTCTGTCCAGGGGGACTGAAGTAATTGCAAGAAAAGCCCATTTGATCTAGTGGTTAAAGCCAAGTCCCCCCTTAGGCGTGAAAGGCAGCTGGGTGACTTTGGGCCAATCACCAGGAGACGGTGAGTTCTAGTCCCGCCTTAGGCGTGAAAGGCGGCTGGGAGACTTTGGGCCAATCAGCAGGGGACGGTGAGTTCTAGTCCCGCCTTAGGCATGAATGGCAGCTGGGTGACTTTGGGCCAATCACCAGGCGACGGTGAGTTCTAGTCCCGCCTTAGGCGTGAAACAGCTGGGTGACTTTGGGCCAATCACCAGGCAACGGTGAGTTCTAGTCCCGCCTTAGGCGTGAAAGGCGGTTGGGAGACTTTGGCCCAATCAGCAGGGGACGGTGAGTTCTAGTCCCGCCTTAGGCGTGAATGGCAGCTAGGTGACTTTGGACCAATCCCCAGGAGACAGAGAATTCTAGTCCTGCCTCAGGCATGAAAGGCAGCTGCATGACTTTGGGCCAATCACCAGGAGACGCACCATATTGGAAAAAAGGAAGAAATACCATCAGAGGAAGAAATACTTAAAAAAAAAAAAAAAAAACCAGAATGTGCGGAGATGGACAGACCGGCTTTGAGGTTGAAAGAAAAAGAAGGAACGGAATATGATCAAACTTGGGACTTATTTTGTTTGTATTATGAATGGATAGCTTAATTTAGACTTGGGATGTTATGTATTTATCCCTGTACTCAGTTCTGGGAAGTCCGGGGGGGGGAGGGTGGAAGGGGATGAAGTGGTAGAATTATATAAAATTTGGTGTATTTATAAATATAATGTAAATGTTGGTCCTTAAGAAGAGGAGATGATCGGCTGGTACCCCTAAACTGCATCCGAGGTGGTGGAAAAGAAGGTGATGGGATGTGTAGGATAGTTGGAAAGGAGGAAAGAGGAGAGGTCGTGGTTAAGAGGGGGAGGAAGGGAGAAGGAAGTAGGTAGGAAGGTTGAGGGAGTGTGGATGCAGGGGGGGGGGACCGCCGATTATTTCTGAATACCTACTGAGTAGGCTTTTCATGTGTTTGTTTTTCTAATGAAATGCACCATATTTGTATTATTTGTTTATATGCTTATTTGAAAAAATTAATAAAAAATTTGTAATAAAAAACAACAACTTGGGACTTATTTTATGAATGGCTGGAGAAAAGAATAAAGGATTGGGAATTAAATCTCTGTTGGTGAATGCAAAACTCAGACAACACGTTTGTTGAACAAGTACTACTGAATGCATGAAAAAAAAATCAGTAAAAATCTTATAAAGAAAAAAAGAAAAAACAACCCAGGTTTTCGTGTTACAATGATAACCCTTGACCGCTCCACCATATTGTCAAGCATCTTACCTTGTGCAATTCATCGTACACAAGCTGGTGTGCAAAACGCGGGCAGGGCTCTTCTTCCTGAAGGCTCTTGTTTGAATTCTCTTTGGCGGCTTGATCGTTCTTGTAGACACAAGACCTGAAAGGCAGGATGTTGGTTACCCAGAGGTGAATTGGCAGGTCTTATTTATCTCCTCTTAAGCTTAAGTTCTACTACAAGTCTAGATTGCTAACCCATTGATGATGATGATGATGATGATGATGAGGAGGAGGAGGATGAGGATGAGGAGGAGGAGGAGGAGGAGGAGGAGAAGGAGAAGGAGAAGGAGGAGGAGGAGAAGGAGAAGGAGAAGGAGAAGGAGAAGGAGAAGGAGAAGGAGAAGGAGAAGGAGAAGGAGAAGGAGAAGNGAATTCTGGGAGTTGAAGTCCACAAGTCATGAAGGGGCCATAGTTCCCTCACACTGGCTGAGGAATTCTGGGAGTTGAAGTCCACCAGTCATAAAGGGGTCATAGTTCCCTCACGCTGGCTGAGGAATTCTGGGAGTTGAAGTCCACAAGTCATGAAGGGGCCATAGTCCCCCATGCTGGCTCAGGAATTCTGGGAGTTGAAGTCCACCAGTCATAAAAGGGTCATAGTTCCCTCACGCTGGCTGAGGAATTCTGGGAGTTGAAGTCCACGAGTCATGAAGGGGCCATAGTTCCCTCACACTGGCTGAGGAATTCTGGGAGTTGAAGTCCACCAGTCATAAAAGGGTCATAGTTCCCTCACGCTGGCTGAGGAATTCTGGGAGTTGAAGTCCACGAGTCATGAAGGGGCTATAGTTCCCTCACACTGGCTCAGGAATTCTGGGAGTTGAAGTCCACGAGTCATAAAAGAGCCAAGGTTGCCTACCCCTGGTGTAGGCCTTACTTTCGGGGAAGCACGGTAGCAGTAAGCAATAAGATTCCTCTTCTGTCTGAAGACTGAATCATTGCAACTGGACTACAGACAGTCCTCGACTTACAACCGCTCATTTAGCGACGGTACGAAGTGGCAACGGCACTGAAAAAAGTGACAGAGGCCCGTTTTCCACACTTACGACCGTTGCAGTCTTCCCAGGCTCACGTGATTTACGTTTGGCAACTGACTCGCATTTATGACGGTTGCAGTGTCCCGGGGTCACATGATCCACTTTTGCGACCTTTGCAAAGTCAAGGGGGGGGGAAGCCAGATTCACTTAACGACCGTGTTATTAACCCCCTCAGTGATTCACCTCACAACTGGGGCAAGGAAAGTCGAAAAATGGGGCAAAGCTCACTTAACGAATGTCTCACTTAGCAACCTAAATTTGGGGCTCAGCTGTGGCCGTTAAGTTGAGGACTGCCTGTAATTTGTTGCTGTTGTTAGTCTGAGAGACACTTCGCTGCTCATCCAGGAGAGCTTCCCCAGTCAGAGCAAGACAGAGAGTCGTGGGAACGTACTGTCACACCAACCTCAGGGGATTTCCTGCCCCAAAGCACACACATAACACACGTACACAACTCCCCAGGACCGTGCAGCCACACCTTTGCCATTCCAGGTGTTTCAGAGGGGCCAATTCCAAGCGGATTTGCACGATTTGTTTCCAGGTGAAGGTGAGATTCAGAGACGTCACCACTTACCTCCTTCGTTTCTTCGGGATCTGAATGATCCACAGTGACAAACAGGTCGTTCTGCAAATATTTCAGAGCGCTGAGGGGATCCGTCTGGGCTTTCTCCTCAAACCTGTGGAGACACACAAGGCCAGGATGAGAACTTAAGAGTCATGAGACTAT